CAGTGCACAGTACCTGTTCTAGATGCACCTCTCTGTGGAGTCGAGAGACGATGCTTCCTGCCAGGACGCGATGGCCGGTGCTTGCCGGCGGAGAAATGGGGTTGCGCTACATCCTGCAAACGCTGGGAGTGAAAAGGGGGCTGCCTCCCACTTCCATCCTGATTGGCTCTTAGTTCTGGGGGTGCTGCTGGCTTCCTCTGTGCATGTGGTTCCCGTGGCTCTGGCTCTGGGTCCTCTGGGTCCACCTTAGTAGCCCTGCTCTCCAAACAGGAGTTTCACATATTTGACTTTTTTTGGGGGGGGTGGAGGGAATCTTGACCCTGCTAGAATTGGGGGTGCAGGGGTGGGATCAGTTCACCTGGGGCCTAACTGGTGCCCATTGATGGACATATTGACCCCTCTGGTATCACTAGGAGCTTTTGTTGTTGTTGTTGTTTGTTTGTTTAAACTATTACAAATAGCAGTACATATGTCTCCTTTTTTTTTTTTTTTTTCCAATTGACCTTCCCCCAGTCTCCCCTACCCTGGCACATGCCCTCACCCCCTTCACTAGGAGCTTTTTCATGCAGACACTTGTTGACTCTAGTTAGTCGCTGATACCATATACATGACGCTGGATTTACTATCTCTTCCTTCCTTGCTTGCATATCTTCGCTGGGTCAGAATACTAGTTACTTGGCAAAGTATCGCAGCTTTCCCTACCTGCCGAGGATTTCTGTATTTCCTTCAGATCTGGAGTCCAACTTCTCAAGCATACCTCTGAAAGCACCTTCTCAAACGTGGTGCACACTTCTCGGCCTTATCTGATTCAAACTTCCTGTGACCCTGGGCCCCGAGACTTCCTCCGCTAAACCACTCCCGGTGGTGATTGGCCCACCTTGCGAATTTTTTTTTAATCGCTTAGCTTTTGAAGAGTTCCATCCCAGGCTTCTCTTTCTTCCTGAGTGAGGTGTCAACACCCACAGCTTCAGTTAGCACCTGTGAGGTCATTTCCTCCAAATCTCCAAGTCAAACATAGCTCGTAGCTTTGAAGTTCAAAGGCCTGCAGATGCCCTTAGTCAGCAGATACCTGATGAACCCCCACTGTGTGTGAAGCCCAGTGCCCACTAGGATGTCCTGTAGGCACTTCTCTGTGTCCAAGACGCAGTAGGAGAAACTTTCTTCATGAAGGGCAATTCAACCTGTCCTTCCTAGCGTGATACCACTGTCCACTTGCTCATCCAAGCCATAAACCGAGGAGTCATTTGCAACGTCTCTTTCTACTTCACTATGCATCCTCATTCAACATCTGTGCCCTCATCCAGTCAGTCAGAAATCCCTGAAAATTATACCCTCCAACAGTCTCAGAACTGTGCTTGCTTTCTGTCTTTCTGTCTTTCTTTCTTTCTTTCTTTCTTTCTTTCTTTCTTTCTTTTTCTTTTTTAATTGATTTTGGAGAGAGAGGAAGGGAGAGGGATAGAGAGAAAACACTGGGACAAGCTGCCTCCTGCACGGCCCTCCTGGAGATCAAGCCCCAAACCCCGAGCATGTGCCCTGGCCGGGAATCCAACCTGGGATCTCTTAGTTCATGGGTTGATGCTCAACCACTGAGCAACCCTAGCCAGACTGTGCTTTCTTTTTTAACCTCTTGGCCTCTCTCAGTTGAGGCCGCCATCACCGGTCCCATTTTCATCTTATGTGCCAGCCTCAGATCTTCTCGATGCGAATTTCACCACCAGTCACCCTCTCTAAAGCACTTCATGGTTCCAAAATACCTTCAGAATTAAGCTCAGCTCCTTCACTTGGCCACAGCACCTTTCTGCGCCTGGCCCCTGTGCTATCTCCTGCCACTGTGCCTGAGACATCACCCCGTCCTACCTCTGGACCCCAGTGCATCTGCCTGAGGGCCCTTTGTCTTCCCTCCCCACTGCCCGCCTCCCTTAGGTGATGGTGCTGCCCAATGGGTCACCGTGTGAGCTTTGGGGCTGAGAAACCCATCCAACCTCAACAAGTTGCTTCCCCTTTTAGAGCCTCCATTTTATCGTGAGGGTTGTTTTGAGAATCAGATTGGGTATTTGTTGAATAAATGAATAAATGACATATTCGCCCGTGGCCTGAGTGGAGCTGCGGACAGAGCGAAGTGAACAAAAAAGGTACCGTTATTATTCACCTGAGGCTCAGGCATCCTGTGGTGGTTTTTTTTTTTTGTTTTGTTTTGTTTTTAAGTCCCGATTTTTGGAAAGTGGGATGTGGGACAAGTTGTTAAAAATCGGGACTGTCCCGCCAAAAGTGGGACGTCTGGTCACCTTAATCTTAACAGACACCAAGTTCCTCAAGGACAGAGCCTGGGACCGGACTTCTTGCTTGCCAGCTTCTGGTACACAAGAAATCCAGTTAGAGGTGCCAAGTGAGCGAATGGACATTTTAGGATAGACCTAACATGCTGCTGAAAACAGCACAGGCCACTGAAGAACATTGCCTATAGGCCAGGCACTGTGTTAGCTGCTTAGATATATTATATAATTCAATCTTCACAGCAACCCTAGGCAGCCAGCATTCATCTTAGCTGCAGACAAACTTGCTGACGTCAGGTTGGGGGCCCAGGCCCGCCTGCCTCCAGAGCCCCAGCATTGCTCATGACGCTTGAGGAGGGAAGCCATTTCTCCACTGGCAGCAGGGGGTACAGCAAGGGGCCAAAGAGCCACATGTGGTTTGCGAGCCTTGGTTTGCCAACCACTGGCCTAACCTATTAAATATGGGGTCAGGGAAACGTGAACTGTGACAAGGAACACAAAAAGAGGACATGCTCAGGAAACATTACATACTTCATGTGTGTGCTGGGATTGTCTTTTGGCTTCAGACTGTCCCCAAAGAAAAGGGAAGCTTTTGTGAAAAAAAGAACAAATTGGGAGGGAAATTGACAATGGCAAAAATAGTAAGAGGAAGCGGATCTCTGTGGCAGTGACAATACTCTCAAGCTCCTTATAGCTCATGGTGCAGTGTGAGGCTCGGTGTGTCTCTCTGACTTAGCTCTTTCTGTGTGGCTTGTAAGTCTTAGGTCAGAATTGGATCTTTACTGTGTAATAAAAAATTCTCATGTATGCTAAGCTATGAAGACATCAACTTGTATACTGTGAATTCACTGGAGAAGCGTAAGATACAATTATTAAAATCTAGCCCCAAAGGAGAATATACAGTGGGGGAGGGGATGCCCCATGGTGTGAGAATATCAGTGCCATCTGGGTTGTAAACCATTTGATTCCAATTCTAGATGCTGGGTGCCAGAAATAACTTATAACAGGGGGATATGCTGGAGAATCGCCAGGAATGACAAAGTTTTTGCTTGTTTTTAACATCTGTATCACAAAATGATAAAGCTGCTGATCCATGCAAAGATGTGACCAGGTGAGCCATACAACCTAGGTCACTAGTGCTTTCTGCTACATACATTGAGTGGCCAGATTATTATAATTTCTGAATGCAACATAATCTGGCCACTCAGTGTATATCCTATATAATAAAGAGCTCATATGCAAATTGTCCCTCCACCAGGAGTTTGACCAGCAGGCAGGCCAGCCAACTGCCCATGTCCCCTCCCCCCCTGGCCAGGCTGGCCGGCCCCCACCATGCACAAATTCATACACTTGCACAAATTCATACACTTGGCCTCTAAAAAAAAAAAAATATATATATATATATATATATATATATATATATATATACACACACACACACACACACACACACACACGCACACTCTGAGTGGCCAGATTATTATGCATTCAGAGATCATAATAATCTGGCCACTCAGTGTGTATTTATGCTGCCTTTTACACACCAATTCTTCCCCCTTTCCCACCCCACACAAGGTCAGAGACCACTTGAGATAAGAGAGTCCTTCCAACTCGCTTCTCCTCCCCGGAGGAGAGCAGTGGACACACCTGGGGTCTGGCCAGAGTGTACAAACTAACCCATAGATTTGCACGGTAATAGCAAACCCCACAGTGGTCATGTTGAGAGTGTGCATAAAGGACTTGATTCTTCCCTTGATCTATGATACTTAGGAGCTCACATTAAATATAGATCACTGCTGTCCAATTGCATTGATAGAAAGCATGTCATTTTGGAGTTCCAGTTCATTACTTTCTAGCTGCCTGACCTTGAACAGGTTACTCAATCTCACTTGTTTACTCATCTTCAATGACAACAGTACCTGCCTCAAAGCCAGCGTGTTAGAAAACTACCTTACAATGATTTAGAGCAGCTTGGATGCTGAGAGCTACCAGATACTAAATTGGGTGTTTCCCTGAATCCCGATGGACATGAAATACATGACCAGGAGTTCATTTCCTGGAGCATCAGGAACCTGTCAGAACCTGGAGGAGGAGCGGGTCTTGGATAACGAGGATGTTCTAAAATGGTGGCTGTCTTTTTCACAAACCCTCTTTTTGGGGGTTCTTTTGTGCACAGAGTCTCCTAGCTTGCAGTCTTTGCGCTTCCCATAACCGAAGTCAAGGCTGCGTGGATGAGGAGGAAGCACAGCTTCTCCCCCTTTGGTTTGCAGGTTTGGGGCTTATTGGGGGGAGGAGGCTGGGCATTCTAAGCCCTTAGTCCCCCACCTTTCCTGGCAGCGGGCCGCCAGGGGTCCCTGACACCAGGCCGGTTTCCTGTGCAGCTCCCGGCCTGGAAGGAGTTAATGCTCCCCCCACCCCCACACCCACCCCGCCCCGCTCCGGCGCTCTTTTGTGTACACAGCTGCGGCGGGCGGGCGCGCGAGTCGGGAAGGAAATGGTTAGAGGAAGAGCCGGTTGGAGACCGGGCCCGTCTGGCCCAGGGGGTACGCGCCAGATGCAGGCCCGCCCGGTGCCCGCCTGGAGCTGCCGGCGTGGTCACGCCGCGGCCCAGCGAGCGCGGGGCGAGGTGATGAGTTAGCGCGTTGCTATGGTGACGGCCCGGCGCACGTGACCCGCTGGCGCTCTGACGTCAGCGCCGGGAGGGCGGGGCGCAGGAGGGCGGGGCGGGGCGGGCGCCGGAGCTGCGAGCAGGGAGCGGAGCAGGCGAGCGGGCGGCGGCGGCGAGGTCTGCGGCGCGGGCGCGGGAAGAGAGCCACCCCCTCAGCAGCCAGCCCCCAGCGGTTTGACCCCTTCCTCGGGACCGCGCCAATGCCTGGCCCGACCCAGACCCTGTCCCCCAATGGCGAGAACAACAACGACATCATCCAGGATAACGGGACCATCATTCCTTTCCGGAAGCACACGGTGCGCGGGGAGCGCTCCTACAGGTACGCGCGGCCGGCCCGGCGGGGACCAGGGCGGGGAGACCGCCCCGCCCGTTATGTAACGGAGCCGACCCTGCCCGCGGCTGCGGGCTGCGGGCTGCGGGTGCACCGGCGGCGGCCATCCCCGCTGCCCGTGCCCGTGTGTCCTGGGGGGAGGATGCATGGAGGCTTCCCGGCCGCAGCTGGAAAGCATTTTGTGGATAGGTTTGCCGCCTGCGAGGGGTTTCCCTCCGGCGCCTCCCTCCCGCCCTCCCTCCCTCCCTTCCACGGTGACCCGCGTGCAGGCAGCGTTCCCCGCTCCGGAGGGAGCCGGGCGGCAGCCCTGCCTCTCCTCCTTCCCCTGCGGCTCTGAAAGGAGCCATTCCATTCGGGGGGACTGTGCCTGCAGGCGGAGGCCGGGAGCGTGTGTGTGTGTGTGTGTGTGTGTGTGTGTGTGTGTGCAGGGAAGATGGAATCCTCTAGATTGAGCTGCACGCAGCAGCCTGCGATGATGGGAAACCGCCAGATTGATGGAGCTTTGTAAGAATGCCGCTCGCTGATTGGTGCGGGGATTGACAGCAGAGGTCACGGTGTCAGGCAATTCACCAAAATGGTCTTCCTAGAACCCAAGGTTTATTAGAAAGAGACCGGACTGCCAGGGGCCCCGGGCGCCCTGGTGCCTTTTCTTGGGAGCGGATGGCCTGCGCCTGGCTGGGTGGGGGAGGCCCACCCTGCATACAGGCTGACGGTGGGAAGGTAATTCCTGGTGTGTCTGCTGAGGTCTGATGTGAGGATGAGGCTGATGATCTTGGTCGTTGTATCCTGGGCCCTTTGATTAATGAGTCGGCCTGTGCGGTTGGCATCGTCCTGACATTAGCATATCTGGCAGTATGTCCCAGCAGATAAGCTCATTAAAATTGTTTGCATTGTTTGATAAGGATAACAATGTCGTGGATGGAGAATGCAGCTCGCTGTCTGGTTGTGCAAGGCTAGCCAGGCTCGGGAGGGAGACTGATAGCTGCACTCCTGCTTCCTCCCGAGTCCTTTTGTACCGGGCGGCTATTTTTAAATGCCGCCGTGATAACCCCGAACGGTGCTGTTGCTTTGAAGCAGGCATGGCACACATACCCCGAAGTGCATCCTTTCTGCCAGTGGGCACCGAGAAAGGGCTCTTTTCTTCCTTTTTTTTTTTTAAGCCTTCGTCAGATGGTATTATGGGCAGAATATTCTGGATGTGTGAATGTTTATGGAACGGGACCCAAAGTACCCCATTTCCTCTGTCTGTGGCCAGAGAAACCCCGTTTGCTGGCTCTTGGCCCTTTCGCTCCTCGGGGGGGTTCTAGAAGTACGTGGCGTTCACGTTGGCCGTGCCCAGGAAGTCACCAAACTCGCCCGCCTTAGGGTCCCAGCGAGTGCGGCGTTGGCAGGGCCTCCTTTCTGACTCCGGGCGCCGGGCCTGCCCTGCCCCGAAGCCGCAGTCGGCCCACGACTCCTGGGCTTCTCCCTCCGGAGCCCCAAGCCCACGACCGGAATGTGGGGTCCCTCTGTCCTGACTCCTCAGCCTTTTTCTGTGGACAAGCCAAGGCCTAAAATAGAATTTCTAAAAAACTTAAAAAACAACAGCCCTGAGTTGCTTTGAAACCTCCCTCGTGTAAGCTGTTCTCATAGGTGATGCACTGGAAACCCTCGCTCCTTCAGTGGTTTCATCTCTGCCGTGTAGGTAGCAGCAGTTGCTTTTTGGACGGCTTTTACCACGTGGGCCGAAGGATGTGGCCTGCTTGGGTCTTATCAGTCAGACGAGCTGACTTGAAATGGCAGTGCCGTGGAAAACCACTCGGTGGAAAGGCTAAGTGCGAATTCTGGTGATAAATTATTGCTTTCAGCCGGGACCGGTTCGGCTCAGTGGATAGAGCATTGGCCTGCGGGCTGAAAGGTCCCGGGTTCGATTCCAGACAAGGGCATGTACCTTGGTTGCGGGCACATCCCCAGTGGGGGATGTGCAAGAGGCAGCTGATCGATGATTCTCTCTCATCGATGTTTCTAACTCTCTCTCTCTCTCTCTCTCTCTCTCATCCTCTCTGTGAAAAATCAATAAAATATATTTTTAAAAGAGAAATAAATAAATAAGTAAATAAATAAATTATTGCTTTCACATAAGACTTGATGGACCTTTTTAATCCGGCCCACGGCTATTTCCCTCTCCCAAGTTATTTCCAGTTTGCTTCCTGAGTCTAGAATCGTTCCTGAAATTATGTGAAAAACAAAGCTGAATTAACAACCTTCCTGAATGAATTCTTTTTTTTTTAATATATTTTATTGATTTTATTTTTTTACAGAGAGGAAGAGAGGGGGATAGAGAGTTAGAAACATCAATGAGAGAGAAATATCCATCAGTTGCCTCTTGCACACCCCCTATTGGGGATGTGCCCGCAACCAAGGTACATGCCCCTGAGCGGAATCGAACCTGGGACCCTTCAATCCGCAGACCGACGCTCTATCCACTGAGCCAAACCGCCTGAATGAATTCTTAAGCGTCACGGCGTCCATATGTTATGGGATGGGGGCATCGGACAGGACAGTGAGAGCTGCCGTGGGCCCCGTGAAGCGGAAGCCTCCAGAATTGCTCGTGGACTGAGGCCCTCCCTGTGGTTCTGGGGCCGCTCTCTCCCAGGGGGATGGCCCGTGTCTCCTCGCGATGGCGTATTTCTCTGTGGGAGCCCAGGGGGAGGAAAACTGTGGCACATTTCTCTGCTCAGGAACTGTTCTGCGGGGATGTTGGCATCCTGGGCTGGAATAGCACGGCCCTTTAATAGCTGAGAAAAGGTGGAAGGCAGTTTGAAAGCCAGGGCAGAGGGGTAAGCAGATGAGGATTGCTTTGGCTGAGGGCTCAGTGTACCCCTACCGAGGAGAGGCGCTGCAGAGAGTCCTGGTGGAGCCCTGGGTGGCCGCATTCCCTTTCGGGCCCCTTTCCTGACTTCCAGGCAGGTCCCCAGCAAGTCCCTTCCCTTTTCAAAGATGTTCATTCTCTGGGAGGCATCTCACCACATTCTTACCAAGTCTCTGAGAGGTTAACCTCAAAACGTTTAAAACAAACACTTAAAACCAGGAAGAGCTATGTAAATATAAGAAGGTTGTGATTTTTTTTTTAAATTTTTTCTTTATTGATTTTTAAGAGAGGAAGGGAAAAGGAGAGAGACATAGAAACATCAATGATGAGCGAGAACCATTGATTGGCTGCCTCCTGCACGCCCCCCACTGGGGTTCGAGCCCACAACCCGAGCATGTGCCCTTGGTCGGAATCGAATCCAGGACCCCTCAGTCCATAGGCCAATGCTCTATCCACCGAGCCAAACCAGCCAGGGCAAGGTTGTGGTTCTTGACAGAGGGGCTGTTTCAGGAGCTCCAGGCCGAGCACCCCTCACCTGGCAGGTGGCCCAGCTGGGACGGGGGGCTCCCCGGGTCTCTGCGGGAGACGGTACTGCCATCACCAGGCCGTGTATCATCAGTAAGGGTCACCTGCGGCTCCGGACCCACACGTCTCAGCCCAGGTCTCTCTCTCTCTGCACACACAGCCCGTTTTTCCAGCCGGGACTCAAGCGGGCCGTAAATCATTATGGAAACCTGTGCGCCCTTTGGTCAGAGGAACACGTTTCCTGTAGAAAGCTGCCCTCCTCCCGTTATTTCAGTTGAAAGAGGGAGGGCAGAGCTGCTCGGCGGAGCCCTGCGGACATGTCCACACGCGTGTCCACACCACGTGACGGCCTCCTCGGCCGCTTCCTCGCTGCACGCACCAGCACTAGAAACCCATCGGTGTAAGAGGGTGTCCGTGCCGGGCGGGCCGTGTGAGGAGACACCGTAATTCACGGGTGAGCGAGCCCCTCGGGCCCTCCCCGGGAGGGTCCCCCCTGCGGGGCAGTGCAGATGCCGGGAAAGGGGCCTGATGACCGGCCACCGCCCGCCCTGCCCGCGCGCTGCAGGCCCTGAGCAGGACTGTGTGTGTCCGGAGGGCTGTGTCCACGCGGGTGAGGGACCACGCAGCTGCAGCAGCGTGTGTTTCTGAGGGCTTTTAGAAGATTTGCTCGGCCCCGAGAAATGGACTGTAAAAAGAAAAAAGAAAAAGCAGAATGAAAACTTAAGGTTTTGACATGCAACTTTGCCAACTTTGAAAAATGAACTCTTGTTAAGAAAAACAAAAAGAAGCCGAAACCAATTTGGCTCAGTGGATAGAGCGGCGGCCTGCGGACTGAAGGGTCCCGGGTTCGATTCTGGTCAGGGGCATGTGCCTTGGTTGCGGGCACATCCCCAGTGGGGGTGTGCAGGAGGCAGCTGGTCGAGGTTTCTCTCTCATCGATGTTTCTAGCTCTCTATCCCTCTCTCTTCTTCTCTGTAAAAAAAAAAATCAATAAAATATAAATAAATTTTTCTTTTTTAAAAAAAAAGAAAAGCAAAAAGAAGCCCTGGCTGGTTTGGCTCAGTGGATAGAAGGGGTTCGATTCCGGTCAAGGGCATATGCTTGGGTTCCGGGCTTGATCTCTGGTAGGGGGCCTGCAGGAGGCAATCAGTCAATGATTTCTCCCATCATTGATGTTTCTTTTTCTTTCTTTCCCTTCCTCTCTAAAAAAAAAAAAAAAGTGTGTGTGTATATATGTATAAAGAAAAACAAAGCTGAAACCAGTTTGGCTCAGTAGATAGAGCATCCGTCTGCAGACTGAAAGGCCCAGGTTCGATTCCGGTCAAGGCATGTACCTTGGTTGGGAGGTGTGCAAGAGGCAGCTGATCGATGATTCTCTCTCATCGATGTTTCTAACTCTCTGTCCCTCTTTCTTCCTCTCTGTAAAATATCAATAAAATATATATATATATATATATATATATATATATATATTCAAAAAAAAGAAAAAAAAAAAAAAAGGCATGCCTGTGTATAAACCATAGTCATGAAAGTGTGATCTATTTCATAGAGGCTGTTGTAACATGGCTCACTTTGGTCAGACTGTGGGTTTCAGACCCTACTCCCCAAAAAG